ATCGAAGAGCACACCCCAGGAGCCGAAGGTACTCGGGGAAACACCACGTGCAGCCAGTTGTCCCTCCAATAGCTCTCCCTGCGAAATATGTAATCAGCAATCCTGTCGTACGTGGTGCCCTTCACCCCCGTCTCTGCCCCCTTCACCGAGTAGGTGATCACGAGCGTGTGTCTCGAGGTCGAGGACTCGTTGGCCCTGATAGTGAAACTCTGATGTCCCACATGTCTGTAACAGAACCTCTCAATCAATCTACCCCACTTAGGGGTAGTCTCACGACGACGGGCCAACTTGGACAGAAAGCACACCCTCTCTAGTACGGGTACTGTCTCCAAGATCTGGCAGAATAGTAGTCAGCAACTCAATGTAAAAGCCTGTCTGAATGGTCTGACTGCAACTCGATATAGGGCCCGCCTGAATGGGCCCGGCTGAACAGCAACTCAATATAGAGCCCGCTTGGATGGGCCCGGCTGAGCAGCAACTATCTCAGAAGAAAGGGCCCGCCTGAAGGGGCCTTACTGAAAACTGCGACAATCTCGAGAAGTGGACCCGCCTGAAGGGGCCCGACTGAATCAGCAACTCAATCTTGAAAAGTGGGCCCGCCTGAAGGGGTCCGGCTGAACAGCAACAATCTCGAGTAGGCCCGCCTGAAGGGTCCGGCTGAACAACAACAATCTCAAGTAGGACCGCCTGAAGGGCCCGGCTAAACAGCAACAATCTCAAGTAGGACCGCCTGAAGGGCCCGGCTGAACAGCAACAATCTCAAGTAGGCCCGCCTGAAGGGTCCGGCCGAACAGCAACAATCTCAAGTAGGACCGCCTTAAGGGCCCGGTTGAACAACAACAATCTCAAGTAGGCCTGCCTGAAGGGCCCGGCCGAACAGCAACTGATCAATAGAACATCTAATGCACAGGAACCAGTCACAAATGCTGAATGTACTGGGGCTAGACTGAGCCAAGTCATCTGTGCAGGGACTAAACTGCCACTGCTCCCTGCGCGATGAAGAATATCACGTGCATGAGGTGATGCTGATCAGCAAGGAAATAAATCAATGGGTGCGTGAAGGCAAATCATCCCATAATAATCATAGGCTCGGGCGCACACGATCGCGCACTCAAATGACAATACCCAGCCTGGGCGCACATAGGTGCGTACTCTAATGTACTCAAATTGCATTATCCAGTCTGGACGCACACATATCCAGCGCACGTGCACATGGGCGCACACTCAAATAACTACATCCAGCCTGGGGGCACATGGGCGCGCACTCTAACTGCTATGCCAAGCTTGGGCGCGAATGGGCGGGCACTTTCAAGCTTGGGTGCGCATGGGCGCGCACTCTCAAGCTTGGGTGCGCATGGGCGCGCACTCTAACTGCAATGCCAAGCTTGGGCGCGCATGGGCACGCACTCTCAAGTTTGGGCGCGCATGGGCGCACACTCTAACTGCAATGCCAAGCTTGGGCGCGCATGGGCACGCTCTCTAACAACAATATCAAGCTTGGGTGTGCATGGGCGTGCACTCTCAAGCTTGGGCACGTATGGGCACGCAATATCTGGTCTGGGCACGTGTGGGCACGCACTGAAAATAATTATCTGATCTGGGTGCGCGCGAGCAGGTATTTAAAAATAATAATAGGTCCGGGCGCGCGCGGACGCGCACTGAAAATAAATATCAGACCTGGGCGCACGCGAGCGCGCACTGAAAATTATAATCAAAATTCAATCTTTGCTTGGGACTAATATACAACTGTTTGCAACAGGGTACTACTCGCCAAACTTGGCCTTCTCTTAGGGACAGACTACTATCGTCATCAAACGAGAGTTGGTCAACAGAGTATGTGCAGACTAAATACCCCGTTGAAATGGACACCAGTGCTCTTCAGTGATGGTGCACAACAACACACACACAGTCGCGAACAGCAGTGTTTCTCAGTCACGGTACGCGACTGCGCACAGTTGAGAATAGCAAAATATTATGAAATGTCCCTTGCTAATGAGCCAGTGCTCAGAAAAGGCTCTTGCGATGATGGCACTGTTCAGACAGAGCACTATTCAGAAATGGCTTTTGCGAAAATGGCATTGTTCAGAAATAGCACTTGCGAGTAGCACTGTCCAAAAAAACTGGCTCTTGCAAATAGCACCGAATAGCACTGTTTAGAAATGGCTTTTTGCGAATAGCACTGTTCAAAAATTAATAGCGCTGGCGAATAGCACAATGCTCAGAAATGGCCCTGACGAATAGCACAATGCTCAGAAATAGCCCTGACAAATAGCACAATGCTCGGAAATGGCTCTAACGAATAGCACATTGCTCAAAAATAGCCCTGACAAATAGCACAATGCTCGGAAATGGCTCTGACGAATAGCACATTGCTCAAAAAATGGTATGGTGCGTTCTCTGCACAGTTGCGAGAATACTCATATATGGTTCTTAGGTACGGTGAGCTCTCTGCTCACTGTTGCAAAATACTCAGATATGGCCCTCGAGTACGGCGCACACCGCTCACAGTGACCAGCTGCGAAATACTCAGATGTGGCCCTCAAGCATGGTGCGAATGGCGCATGGCCCTCAGATATGGCCCTCAAGCATGGTGCGAACAGCGCACAGTATAGTGCAAACGGCGCACAGTTCCGATATGACCCTCAAGTGTAGTGCGAAACAGCGCACAGTTCAGATATGGCCCTCAAATATGGTCCTCAAGCATGGTGCGAACAGCGCACAGCATCGTGCGAACGGCGCGCTGTTCAGATATGACGGTGATATGGCCCTCAAGTATGGTCCTCAAGTATGGTCCTTAAGCATGGTGCGAACAGTGCACAGCATGGTGCAAACGGCGCACTGTTCAGATATGGCCCTGATATGGCCCTCAAGTGCGGTATGCGCAGTTGCCAACTCGGACGTGGCCCTCGACGAAATGCTCAGTGTGACTGCGCAATCGACCTGGTCCGACTGCGCAAACAAAATGACTGCACAGGTGGTCTCAAAATCGGCTTGGTACTCGGTGAGACTGCGCTTGCAGTCTCAAAATGGACTTGGTACATGGTGAGACTGTGCTCAAAATCGACTTGTTACTCGAAGTGGCTGAGCAAACGCAATCCAAAAAGCGGCAAGTACAGCCTCAAAATCACCATCCCTATTCAGAAAGCGCAGCATCGCACTTGAAGTGAAGTGCGCACAGTCGCATTTCGTTGAGATCATTCAGGCGCAATTTGTTGGTTGAACGCGCAATGTCGCAATTTAAGTGCGCACAATTGCAGTCCCTCATGGTCACTTTGGCAGAACTCTGTGGATCGATTATTCAAAACTGTACTTAAAAGTCATTATTTGCGCAGTCTCGCATCTGAATGCGCACAGTCGCAGAAGCACTGGGTGCCCACAATTGACATATTCAGTTCGAGTGCCTCTTGGCACAGTCAATCAGCGGACTATAATTCGGCATACTCAGGCATAACCAATCAAYGGACTATAAAGCGGCATACTCAGTTCAAGTGCCTSTCRGCACAGCCGATCAGCAGACTATAAAGCGGCATGCTCAGTTCAAGTGYCTCTCGGCACWGTCGATCAGCAKACTRTAAAGCGACATGCTCAGTTCAAGTRYCTCTCGGCACARCCGACTCAATTWGATTGCTTGYTRACGCTCATCTCARAATCCAACTCTCAAATACAGCACTTGAGTGCWGGGCTCATAGCCAGTCATCAGGTGMAGTGTTCTCCAGTGTTCAGTTCAGGGTCAACCCTYAGATACAGCGYRAAAGCRCATGATTTRTGACCAATCAACARAGCTCATGCATAGTGCGCACAGATCAAATACGGCACKTACTTAGCCCACGGAGGCGGTTGAAAGGAGGAGGGAAAGAGAGAAGAGAGAGAGAAGAGAGAGAAGAGATGATGAGAGTTAGGAGAGAGGGTGAGAGAGGGAAAGTGAGGGACCAATCTTGCCCCTCCCTTTCCTTACCCCTTCCCTTGCTTGCCTCCTACTCGATTCTCTTGTCTCCTGCTCCACGCTCCCCTCTTGCTCCAGCTGGCACGTCGCTGTTCTTTGGCCCGTGCCTCTCGCTCCTTACCGTTCCGTCAAGGCTATAGTGCTCTCTTAATGCGCCACTTCCTTCTCACGCATGCTGATCTCTCGAACTGATCTGATCTTTTGGGTGACGTGGCCTCTCTTTTATAATGGAGAGGCCAAGTGATCGGGGTTGAGTGCTGCAGTCCCAAGGTCGGGGCCGTGGTCTAACTCTAGACCGGGCCTGTGCTAAAAATAGCAGCAGTCCCGACCTCGGGATATGAACAGTCAGTCCTATTTTTAGAACGGGACTGGCGCAGGCCCAGTCCCTGGTAGATGAACAGTCAGTCCCACACTAAAAATAGCGTGGGGCTGTGCTATTTTTAGAACGGGATTGGCGCAGGCCCAGTTCCCGGTAGATGAACAGTCAGTCCCATGCTAAAAATAGCATGGGGCTATGTTATTTTTAGAACCGGACTGGCTCAGGCCCGACTTTGGGAAACGAACAGTCAGTCCTGAGCTAAAAATAGTACATGACCCTATTTTAATTATTCGGGTCTGGCTGTTCATCTATATGGCTACTGAGGGCTGTTCCTTTCCTGGCCGTGTTATGCGGTCGTGTCGGTCCGGTCCTAACCGGTCAAACTTAATTATCTTGCTAACCCTTGGTCCGTTTCAGGTGCCGCTTGGACCGGACCCCAATAATTGGCCCATTGCGGTCGCGTCGGTCCAGTCCAACATGGATGATTTGGTCTCCAGTGGACCATACGGTCGCGCCGTTTTTCGCTTGGTTTCGACTCAGGGAAAATCTAACCGAAGCACTAAGGTCCATGACTACGGACGCAATTTTTGACGCAGCGCGGGAGTTGATTGCGGCGAGTCAATTTCCGCTGCTGCGTCGTATTATCTTTCGACAGCGCTCCCCATATCGAAGGCTCTAGCTCCTCGTCTACAGGCCCCGCTGAACCGCCCTTTGCATCCCCAGACCGTACCTCCTCTAAAGTGTCCAAGTCTCCCCACGGAAGAACGTAACCGACTGACGACTCAGAAAACAGTCCAACAGTTTGAGATTGGTGGCAATCTCAACCAATTGAGCGAGCTTTGTGAACTCCAGCCTGTTACGCCTCGCCGTGCACACACACTCATGCTCCGCCCAGTTCCTCTCAGCAGGAGAGGTGGACGTCCACATGTGCAGCACACGTGCTGCAATCTCATGGAGGTCGGGGTATGCGCCTCCGTGCTCCCGCCGTGTTCCTGCCACCAAGCTGCATATCTCGGTGTTCCGTCATCCTCAATGCATGCCCGCGCCTCCGCATCCCTCGTCGCAAGGTCGGTCATCAAAGGGCCTATACACGCGTGAAACAGTCTCATCTGCTCAGGCACCCGCAAGTAGCGAGCGCCTGCCCGATCACCCCATGTCTGGGCAAGGAAGAAGTTGTCGCACTCCTGCACGACCTCCAAGTCCTCCGCACTCCTCACCCTCGTATCGTAGTATCGAAGAGAACGCCTGCGAGGGTTAACGAGATGCGCCGCGGCGTGCGCCGACTCGAACATATGTTGGTGACGGGCGAGGACCTGGTCGATACAATCCTTGACTATCTCGGAGGGGACTGCCTGAACCTCCTGTAAGGCTCGCAACTTAGTGACCATAAGACGACTCCAAGAGTAAACCAGCGACATAACCATCCCGCCCCTGTCCAACCTCCTCAGCAACTGGTCCATGGGGGTCATGATGATAATGGCATAGTCCACATCCCGCCAAAACTCTGCGTCACGGATGGTCTGCCGCACCCATACTGCCTGCTTGACCAACCGAGACTCCCAGGGGATGTTGTCCCAAGCGTCCGCGTGCAACATCGACTCTAAGGCGTCTCTACGCTCCTTTAGGTGAAGGAGCATAAAAAAGACGGACGCAAATCGCGTCTCCACTGGTTGAACAAGAGATCTGCGCTTGCGCTTCCTCCTGAAAAGGTGAAGAGCAGCGTCGTGCATCTTGATAAACTGCACCAAGGCCCTTCCAAGAAGAATGGCCGAGGCAATGCAGTTTACCTGGGTCCCTATGCATGACAACATCAAGTTCCAAACGTGGGTGGAGCACGGGAGCCACGTGATGCGACGCAGCTCCGGGTCAGCGTCCTTCGCAAGGAGCTTTGCGGCCGATGTGTAGTTGGTCGCAGAATCCGTGCAGATCGCCAAAACGTCATTTGGAGGGGAGGACCTAAAAATGGCCTTCCATCTCCTCAGGACTATCTCCGTCGTCTCAGGAACTGATCCATCCCGACACACTGTGGCGTACAGGAGCGCGCCATGCTTGCCAGCAGCAAGGAAGTGAATAATCGGCTTGAAATCCCTAGACCTCCTACCATGTGTCAAGATGGTGGCCCCAATCGCCTTGAACAATGCGCGGTTATGCGCGAGCATGGTGGCGACTGCATCTCGCTGAGATGTAACCCCACTTCCCCCAATCTCCTTGAAAGTGAGCTTCACGAACCATACTTCACGTGGCAAGTCTGCCACTGCCTTCGGGGCCTTGCGGTATCTCCTCCAAGACTTCCTTCGGAAAGCACGGAACGGAATCCCCGAGTCATACACCCACTGCAAAAATGTGTTCCTCGCGTGCTACTGAGCGTCGTCGTGTACACCTCGTCGATGCTCGATTGTCTGAGTCTCTTGCACCCCTACACAGGAACGCCGTGTAACGCCTCATCGACTGCCCTCTTCCCTCTCTCTCTATCTCTCTCCTCAGCATCGAGGCATGCACCTCCCGTGCCACGCGCAGTCATCATGACCTCCTCCCCCCTCAAATGCGGAGATGGAGGACTCGAACCACCCTCCGCAGTCCCTCGCCTAGCATCGGCCTCTCGCCTCTCCTGCTCCTCTGGAAATGCCTCCACCTCATCCACAGCCGAGTCCTCCATAATATCCTCTCGCTGGCGTGCACGCCCCCCTCCACCAGCATGCCTCACCTGCGACGCTGCGTGCCCCGCTGTGACAAAGATCTAGCGTCGACTATGCCCTGCTCCTCCATATACTGTCGTATACCAGGCTCGTGCCGGTAGTCAAATTTGTAATCCGTATTGTTCCACGAATCTGCCAATGCTGACATCGGAACCTGCTTGCACCTCTTAGGCTGCGTGAAGTGTCGCGCGTCCTTGAACTGGTTTCCGTGGTACACAACCTTACAGTAGTTGCATCGCAACTTGTGGTCTCTGTGCATCTTCTCCCATGTCCCCACCTTCTGTCCTTGCGTGACATGCTTCTATATATGCGATTTGCTTCGCAACCTGGCCATGTCAGCATTGGACACACGTATGAAGTCGTTCCCCCAAGACCCCCCTGCACCGGTAGAAGCGATCGTCACCTGGTATCACACTTTGGTATCCAATGTTGTCCTCGCAAATGTGGTCGAAGGACCTTTCGATGTGAACTCGACGTCGTCCTCGTGCCGAGTGTCCTTGCACACCGTCGTGACACCGGACCTGCAGGCCACAAGTCCAAAAGTAGTGAGTATGCAAGCCGTTTTCCCATGCCTCGACCCTTGGGGCGGACACGGTCGCGCAACACACACACATATACGCACACAATCAATCAATCAGCCAATCAATCAATCAATCAATCAATCAGCCAATCAATCAATCAATCAATCAATAAATCAAATCAATCAATCAATCAATCAATCAATCAATCAACCAATCAATCAATCAATCAATCAATCAATCAATCAATCAATCAATCATTGACAATCAGATCAATCAATCAATCAATCTATCCAAACAATCAAGATCCTAGGATCTTGATTGCTTGGATTGATTTGATTGATTGATTGGTTGATTGATTGATTGATTGATTGATTTTCTCTCTCTCTCTCTCTCTCTCTCTCTCTCTCTCTCTCTCTCTCTCTCTCTCTCTCTCTTTC